TACTACTACTACTACTACTACTACTACTACTACTACTACTACTACTAACAAGAAGCTACTAGTAGCAAGACTCTGTTTGGGGCACGGGTCAAATCTCGCAAACGAACGCTCCTCCCGACGAGGTGGCCCCTCCTGCCGATGCTCACCGAGCTTCTCTGAGCTTCCGACCAGGCACCGCTCGAAGAGCTTGTTTTGTGCCACGAACCACTGCTGCAACTGCTCCCTGCCGGAAAGGCATATCCAAAGAAACGACATGACCCCTGTAAAGCAAAGGACTGTGAAGGACCGTCATGTAGATAGTTAATTGATATACCCCCATCTGAGCCGGCTCCGTGCATCCAAATGAGGGGGTTGTATTAATCAACAGTCTACATTCTTTGGGGTAGTTGGATTTGTCCGAAGGTCACTCATGTTCTAGTCTGGCAGTTCTTTTTGCCCCTCTCATCACCAAGCTCTGCGGTATGGTGGGGTGTCAAGCGGGGTACCAAGCAGCCGTACTCCAACCACCCTGGAGGTACCAACAGAGGTTGAAGAACCCGAACTAGGCTATCCCATAAGTACCCCAGGTGACGGGTCCTTTTTCAGGTCACTTAACCTCTCTTGGTTGGCTTTCCAAGTGTCCATGGATGAACCCGTGGAGCAAGTCGACGAAAAAGGACGTCGACGTGGAGCATCCAGCGGCCGCGGCCGAAGCGAGAATGCTTTTTGGGGTCAAACAACAAACCCCAAACCGAATCCACCAATTCCTCACCGAGAATCCTGGAACTCGGAAGTGGCCCACTGGTTCGATCAAACTGTGGATCCATCCAGGTTCGATCAAGTCAAAAAGCTGACCACAGGAGCAATTCGCACACAAACCAGAGTGGGCGTCCCACACCGTCCGCTCACCGCAAAATGTCCCCTCCTCCTCCCCCCCAAAAAAAATGAGAAGAACTTCTTAAATCAGAAACAAGAAGCTATATACTAGGAACAAGGGCATCGCTTCTAGTAACAGGTGCCTTACTAGTAGTAACAAGAAGCTAGTAGAAACGGTCGCTTCTTAAATCACCAGCACCGCTCACCGGTCTCTTCCGCACCGCTCCGGCCCCACACGCAGCGCTGGATCTCCCGCGACTTCAACTGGATCGCCACGAAGTGCGTGGGCCTCGCACGCCTCCGCTCTTCGCTCGGGCGCCGGTGGGTTGGACGGGAACTCCTGTCCTTCGGTGCTTGTTCTTCGACGGACTCCTCGGTGGAGGCGAGGTTTCTGGGTGTGCTCTGGGGGCCCCCCACTGCGAGCGAGGAAGCCAATAGCCCCGCGCGTGGGCGCCGGGGGCGCCGGGGCCGCGGTGGCCACGGCGACAGCCTTGGGACGAGTCGGGCGGACGTGGTGTGGGTCCAACGACTCGGAGACAGAAGAAAGCCTGCTTCAGCCTGAGAGCTTTGGAGCCTCTGGAGCTTCCTTCTTTTTGGACGTGAGAGAGCTATCATGGATTTGAGGAACTTCAAATGACTGGGAGTTCAGGGTTAAGTGCAAGATATTCCGCGGTTTTCCACATAAAGATTTCTGATTGCCACACAATTGATTTCACCAACAGAAGGACATCCTGGAGTGGGTAGAACAAGCACAAGCAGCAGAACCGGAAGCGGAGTCAACATGTTTGACAAGTGCACATGGTCCGTCTATTCCATTCCATCATGATCGCTCTCAAAGCCCTCAACAACCCTGAAAACTTTATTGTTAAATGCCTTGTCTATCATTGTCGAGTCTTGTTGATGTTTACCTCAGAAAAAAAAATGGGTCCCTTTTAAGCCCCTTTGCGGTGTTGGTATTTTTGGTTGCGGCATCGGCCTCCCGCTCTCGACACAGAGAGGGGAGCGGGATGCGGGTCATCCATGTGTGTCTCCTTCAACCACCTCGTGCCCATCAGACAGGGATACCTCATCGACTCATCATCCAGCCTATCACAAACGACCGCAGCTCCGGTGCTCGTGCCGCCATGCCACCATCCCGCCGCCTGGACGAAGACTTCGTGTTCGCTCGTCACAACTCACCAGGCCGTTTTTTGGCCAAACGAAGAAAGAAACCGTTTTATTGAAACAAACAACGGCTGCCGCGGGCAGCAGTTGTTTTAGGAAAACCTATGGTTTTAGGGCGACCATGTTGAAGCAACTACAGCCACAACCGCGCATCCCCAGTCAATCATTATGGCTCATGACTACCTCCTCCCACAGAACCCCAACCTAAGCACCCTGCCTCGAGCGGGACCTGGGCGGTGCAGGTGCTTCCGCACCACTCCGGGCCACGCCGTACGTCGCAGGTGCTTCCTCCGTGTGGACCACGCTCTGAACCTGAACAGGCCAAAGGAAGCCGAACTGTTGAGCCAATGTTCCAGGCCAATGATCTCTCACAAACCTAATAGCAATGGCTTTCAACCCAAAAGCAATGGCCTCTAACCTAATAGCGATGGCCTCCAACCAAATAGCAACGGCCTCCAACCTAAGCGCGATGGCCTCTAACCTAATAGCGATGGCCTCCGACCTGATAGCAATGGCCTTCAACTTAATAGCAACGGCCTCCAACCTAATAGCAATGGCCTCCAACCTAATAGCAATGGCTTCCAATGCCCTCCAACCTAAGAGCGACGGCCTCCAACCTAATAGCGATGGCCTCCAACCTAATAGCGATGGCCTCCAATCTAATAGCGATGGCCTCCAACCTAATAGCAACAGCCTCCAACCGAGTAGCGATGGCCTCCAACCTATTAGCAATGGGCTCCAACCTATTAACTAGCGATGGCCTCCAACCTAAGCGCGATGGCCTCCAACCTAATAGCGATGGCCTCCGATCTAATAGCGATGGCCTCATACCTAATAGCGATGGCCTCCAACCTATTAGCAATGGGCTCCAACCTATTAGCAATGGCCTCCAACCTAGCAGCAACAGCCTGCAACCAAATAGCGATGGCCTCCAACCTGATACTGCAGCCAAAAGAGAGAATCGGAAATATCTGCTTTGCATGAATTCTCAGAGATCGTGATTCGACACCAACAACCACCGGAAGCCTCCGGTGCTGGCTGCTCTGCCATCAAGGCGCCGCCATGGGCGGAACCACCGGGACGGAACCACCGGGAGCGCCCTGGTAGACCGAGGATGTGAGAAAAGCCCAGGGTGTAGACTCTGTAGACCACGTTTGTCTTCCTTTCTCAGAGTCGAACAGGTTTTGTGAGGTTCAATTGACCTGGTGTAAGCTTGGAAACTAGGAGGCTGGGGCTATCCAAGCTACTTGGTCTCATGAGCCGTCGGAAGATGCACTGCCTTTTGCTTCCGAGCCGAGACATTTCACCCACCGGACTGCGTGTGGCTACCCGCGTGTGCTACTGCATGCGACGACACATCTCTCGACCTAGGAATCTTCGAGAAGATTCACTCTTGTTGGGTGGTTTGGGTTAGGAGTTGGAGTGGATGATATTCAGCTCTCATCAACCACCGATTGAGCCTCGCGCTCAGCTCAGCTGATGTGCCAGAGTTTGCCAATCAGCTATGTTCAGATACTGTACTCGTAGAGGAGTACTCCTCCCAAAGCCCCCCACCATGGCTCCCTCTCCGGTTCCGACCGATTCCCCACCCGTTCACCGTTCCCGCCCGTGTCCGCCCGGTTCCGCTTGACCCATCGGGCACTGCGAGTACTTGTCCATCTTATGGCGTCGCAGCTCGCAACGCCGCTCGCGCTCCAGCACCTGAACGCTGAACGCTCGGTCGGCCGAGGCACGGCAGGCCTGCTGGCGAAAGAACCGACGGCCACGGGTTTTGAAAGGGTAAGGAAAAAGCTCCAGTTCCAATATACACTAAGCACCAGTCAGGTCGTGCGGTGCTGAGGATGTCGGCAGGCTGCAGTACTTTCATGGGCGTGGCTCCAAAAGCCGGTGCTTTTGTTCAATCCGATTGGCGATCTCAGGCCCCCAAACCGCCGCCAGCAGGATCTCGAGCCTACCCGAGGGCTGAAGGCTCAAGGCGAACGCACGAACCTGGTGTTGCTCAGAACTTAGAACTAGCACCTTGGTAAACCATCACTGTTGGACATACTTCTCACATCGCACTTGGAAGACCCCCTTCCTGGTAGCCACCCGCAAAGGGGTGGCGCTGAAACGTGGGGCTCTCAGGGGCTGGATTGTTCCGTCTCATGTTGATCCACGCTGGATCTGGGAGACAAACAACCAATTGGTTGGAAAACCCCTGTCTTTCGGTTTGGAAGTGGTTGAAACTATCAGAAGTCTTATGGTCTTTGTTGAAACTATCAGAAGAAGTGGTTTGGAAAGCCCCCTGTCTTTCGGAAGCGCCCAGATCCGACAGGATCTTCTGCTTCAACCTTCTCCAACCTTCTGGAGTCCACTGCTCTCAGAAAGGATCCCAGTTAGAACAGAACGGTCGATTCACGCGAAAGAAAACATCCCCACAGTTTCCCATGTTGTTTTTCAATCACGAGCAAGAACGCTACTAGGGGCTCCTGGCCGTACTACTAGGAACAAGAAGCTACTAGGGGCTCCTGGCCTTACTACTTGGAACAAGAAGCTACGAACGGGGCTCCTGGCCTTACTACTTGGAACAAGAAGCTACGAACGGGGCTCCTGGCCTTACTACTTGGAACAAGAAGCTACGAACGGGGCTCCTGGCCTTACTACTTGGGGCAATGTTCGCTACTAGGGTTACTAGGGGCTTCTGGTTCACCGTTCAGTGCCTCCGACCTCCCACCCGCGTTGAACGGGGCTCCGACGGTCCCACCTCCGCACCCGTCGTGGGCCGTACAAGGACTGCCTGGAGTCGCCACGAACGACCGCCACGTCAACCGTTGAGGGAGTCGACGGGGCGAGGTTGTGTTGGTTGACCTGCTTGGTATGGTCAATGAGGTGTGGTGGATGAACGAAGCACGGTTTTTCAAACATACTAGCGGTGAAGAACAAAATTGGGGTGAGAGAGGTCCTGGGGGAGTAGATTTGGTCATCAAGGTGATAAGGGCGTGGCAATTTTGCAAAGGTGAGTGGTTTTGGTCTGCTGTTGGTCCGGGTCGCTGGTGGGTTGCTCCAAAATGGAGCAAGGCACGACTGGCCCTCGGGTGTAGCACCCACCACGAAGGCCACTTCGTCCGTTGGAGACTTTCCGGCTGCTCAGCCGAGTGCCGGCCCTCAGCCGAATCGGTGACGCGCAATGCGCCAACTTGAGAGATCCGCCTGGATACTGGAAGTCGAGCCTGTCCTGTCCAGGGGTCACCCCCTGTCCTGTCGAGTGTGGCAGCCGGAAGTAGAAGTCGCGACTTGGGCCACTCATGCTGCTGTCCAAAAAGTCAGCAAGCATGTGCCCTCCTGTCTTGTGATTCCCAAGAAGAGACAGCGAAGTCGGCGTCCTACTCCAGGTACGCGGCAGCTCACAGCACCTGGGCCTCAGTTTAGATGCCAGTAGCAACATCGACGCCAGGAATCACTGCCGTAAGCAAGTGACGCACTACTTGCACACAAAACTGCACCGAGCTCAGAGAAACTTCAGTGTCCGCTTTTGGGTCTTGAGCCAAAATGTTAAAGATGGTGTGATGATGAAAATGATGTGATGTCGATGATGACTGCGCACCCAAGCACAGCTATATGTCGCCTTGCAATCAGTAAGAGATCCCCCATCATCAACTCCACCGAAGCTGGGCCCATGCAAAATCCTCGGCCATAGCGGTTTTAGGTGGTCCTTTCAACGTCTTTCCCCCTTCTTTCGCGAAAAAACGGATGCCAACCCTCCGTGCCAACCCTCCGTGCCACTCACTGGGTCCCCCCGGCAAGTCCTCGCGCGTGCCCGCGGCGTCCAGGGTCTCAGCGACCAACGCCTGGAGGGAAGAGGAAGGAACTCGCCACAGTGAAAAACGGATCTGTTTGTTTTCAGTTGGTTTTTCATGTGGCTACATGGTTGAGCTATGCGCATCGAAAAGTCGAAAAGGTTTTTCATGTTTGTTTTCAGGACAAAATGATTTCGGGCCCAAGCATGATAGAGGGTTTTGTCTCCCCTCTGTGATGGTGCTCAGGCTTTCTCGAGAAACCTTGTCTTCCAAGGAAGCTGTTTTGAGGTTGGTCGTTGAGAGGTGCAAGCAACAATTCTTCAAGCGGGCAGATGGAGATTGCGATGATGTCCCCAAATTACTTACAGTAATAAGATCTAGATAGATACAGTGTACTAAACAGACTTGCAGGGAGATAGACCTTTTGTGAGAGAAGTACCAAAGTGGAGAATGTCAAGAACCATCCAAAGATGTACCGCCGGATTCCACCCAGCAACACCAAATGGTCTTCCGCATCACGCCGCCCATCAATCTGCCAGGATTCGTCTTGCATTGGTGGCGAAACACTTGGGTGGCGAAACACTGACATCCCTATAACTCACAACATCAAAGATATGATGCCTCAAGTTCATTCCGAAAGTTGAGGCTTCCCACTTCCCAATGACCGACTATATGGTAAAGTGGGATGATGGTGTCCCAACGACCGACTGCTCCCATCCCTGGAGCTCGCTTCGCTCGCCTCCAGCGCGAGCTCTTCTTCCCGCAGCCGTTGGCCTTTCGAAGCGCACCTCGGATGGGTTCAGGTCCACGGGGCGGAGGGGGCGGGGGCGCGCGCCACCGGCAGAGTCCGTCTGGGTGTCCATCTGGAGCCGTCTGGGGTCTCGGATTTTGGATCGAAACACATGTTGAAATGGTTGTAGAGGTTCCGGAATAGAAGTTCCTCACCTTGCACTCTTCACTTTCTGGGGTATGCTCTTTTGACCCTTTCTGAAGTCTTGAGTAAAGCTTCCGAAAACCTTCTGATGTTCAAACAAAGATGACATGGAAGAGCCAAGGGGAGCGAAACCGGTGAAACCGGTGAAACACCTCTGTCGAAAAGCAGCTATATGTTCGATTCGAGCTACTCCTTGACCAGAGGTAGCTCGCTTCTTGAAGTTCAAGAGGTAGCTCGAGCTAGACATAGCTCATGTAGACAAGAGCTTGAGGCATGCTCATGCTTGACATAGCTAGCTTCTTGTTCAAATGGAAGGTCTCGTGAATAGAACCATTTCACACTGCTGATGTTGCCTGCGGCCAACTGCAGTCGCCTCAAGCACTCTTCAGCACAGAAAGATCAGACCCTGCCAGCTTTGCTCTGCGACACCTCTGCTGAAGAAGGAAATCCTGAAATCCTGCATCTTGACTCACACCCAGTGATCTTCAATAGTATGCTTCGCAAAATCCAAAAAATTGACCGCATCCGGACAACATCCAGAGCTGGTTTTGCCGGGTGTGACCTCGAGCGGCAGTGACCTCGTGTTTTACAGATGTGCAGAGCCTTCGCTCCTGGCCCGTTGATGCGACTGCTGGCCATTCTGCGAAGTTGTATCGAAGTGGCCCATGCACTCCTTGTGACAAGGGTCCACACTTACATAGTTCAATAATAGTTCAAGTTGAAAAGGCTTCTGACTTAAAAGGATAAACTTTAAACAGGATTTTGTTGGGCATGTATCTCTTTTGAGGGCAAAGACGTGTTCAACCTGTGATCTCAAAGGTGCCTAGTCTTGGATGGCACCGGTTCTGGTATCTACCTAGCTCTACCATGTCGAGCATCGCATCTTGCCTTGGCCACCAAGAGAAACAAACCACTTGGTCGGAGACCACAGTGGTTCCGCACCAGAGATCACTCTGCACCAAAGAGCTCGACTCCCCGTAACTTGGCTCTGTGTGGGAGCAATGGAGAGGTTGGCACACGTGACCCGAATTCGGTGGTTCCGGACCCCCGAATTCTAAGGATTCGAAAGGACACTTTTGAGGGATTGTGCCTGTGCCATCGAACCTCTGAAACCAGTCAGAGTTGGGTCGAAGCGCCACTTGTTGAGTGGCCTCAAATCGAGCTGGAGCAGAACACAATGTAGCTTTTCTCGGCTGTGCGGGTGTGTGCGGGTGTGGAGGGGGATAACATCATGGCGAGCCTCCATACTGCAGAAATATGTGCAATTGATCGTTTGAGCAGCTGCCAACTCAGTCATCTGTCAACTCTGGGTCTCGGCTGAGTTTCTGCTTTTCTGCCAATTCCCCAGGTTCAACGCCTTGATGATTCGTTGAAGGCCGAGATTTGATGCTCAGCAAGTCTAATAGTGGGGGATCCT